ATTTATTTATATTCTATATAAATAAAGTAACTTTAGTAATTAATTTATATATATATATTTATATTTTTTTGTATCAATAGATATGTATCAGAAAATAAAAATTTCTTAGAAATATTGATCATTTTTAGAATTGATTTAAATTTAAATTTTAAAAAATTTATGAAATAAAGATTCAAATTTAACAAGTATATATAAAATTTTTATAATTTTTTATTAATAAATCAAATTTAATTATAATATTTAAATATTTTTATAAATATTTTTAATAAAACTTTTCACAAAAAATTAGTTATATAAATCATAATAAATGATCAACTATTTATAATAAATTACTATAATTCAACAGTATATTTATTATCAGCTAATACAATTAATTAAAAGTGATATTTTAAAGTTATTTAAAGAATATTGAGAGAAAATTCAAATAATATTACAGATATAAATCCAGTAATAATTAATCAATTAGTATTTAATATTTATAATCAGTCAATAATTATATAATTAATTAATTTTAAAGTGATATAACAAATTATTTTTAAAATATTATTTAAAATAATAATATTATTTTATTATTATCAAATATAATATAAACTTTTTAATTTAATTTGTAATTTATTTTTAAATTAAAAAATATTCAAGATAAATTAAATTTTACTATAGATAGATAAATTTTATTAAATGTAAATAATTTTTAAAGATAATATATTATTATATTAATATTGATTGAGAAGTTTAAAATATATTACTTAATTTTATTAATTTATAAATTTACATTTAAGAGAAAATATTGCAACCTTTTTTAAAATCTTTAAAAGATAAATAAATTAATAAAGTAAATAATAATTTTTTTTTAATTAGTTCCATTTGGATTATAGATTTTAGTATTAATATCAGCTTATTAGTATTGATTTTGATAATAATATTAATATTAACTTTAATAGAAATATTAGCTTTTTTGGTATAATTTTTAGCATTAATATTGATATTAGCTTTAATGTTAGTTTTAGTAAAATATTGGCATTAGCATTAAGCATTAGCTTTTTTTTTTGTTATTAGTATTGGTATTAATATTGATATTGAATTAAAAAATAAAAAAATTATTAATTTTTAATTTTTTAAAAAAATTCAATATTTATTATTGATTTTAATTTTTATTATATTCATTAATATCATATTTACAAATTATTTATAAAAATATTATAAGAAATTATTATTTGGTTTTAATTATAATCAATATTTTTTTATATATAATTCATAAATTTATACGTATATATTTTAGTAGGTGAAATAATTGAATCATTTTGATGATGTAAAGGAGAAAGTAAATAATGATTGCTACTATATTGAATCAAAAATATTTTACTACAGATAATATATATATATAAGATAAGCATGTAATAAAGTATTGATATAACTAATATTTTATAAATACGTTTCATTAAATCATTTCTTGTAAAATTTTGAAGTGTTGATAAATAATAATAATTGTTTCAATTAATTTTAAAAAAGTAGGATTACAAAGGGAAGGAAGTTATTAATATGTTACATTCAAGTGATTTTCATTAGTTATTTCAAATGTTATTAGTTGTACTTTTAAGAATAAATTTTAAAATCACTTTTTTTTAAAAAAAAATGTTCTTAAATTATGAATAACTTCAAAAACCAAACTCATTTTCAGCATATTCATAGTTTAAGACTAATTAAGTCATATTGGTTTGAAAAAAATATAATTGAAATTTTTAGATTTGAATTATTTGTTTATTTTAATTTATTTTTTAACAAACTTTGTTTTTCTTATATTTTTTATCTGAGGTTTAGACTATGCATGTAAATTTAAATTTTATTTTTAAAATTACCGAATATATTTTAATAATTGTAGAATTCAAACAATAAATGTTGATTGGTATGATTCTTTATCAACCGAAAATTTTGGTACCATACTGTGCTTTTTTGTTGCAAATCAACATTTAAGTTTGGAATCATATTCAGACATGAAAATATGAAATTTTTTTTTACAAGTAGTTTAGACAAGACATTATTAAAAAAAGAAAAAAAAGAAAAAAAAAAAGAAATTTTCAAAATAAAAATTGCGAAATTAAAATGTTTTTAATTATAGGGTTGAGGCGTTGAATTAATTTGTGGCATTGAAGTTTATTTATAATGGCTTGCTTTGAAAAAGTTGCTTAGCCTAAATATTTATGTAAATAATGATGTCAAATCTTGTGATAAATCAGTGTAACACATCGTTATTGATATTCGTAAAATAAAACTACTTTAATTAGCGAGTTCTAAACTCGAATTGTCGTTATAAAGAAAAACGATTAGAAGTTAGCTTCTTGTATGAGTCTTGATATTATAAACAAACAGCAAAGGCGAAAATAAAATAATGACATCAAAAAAATTGAGCCAAAACATGTACCTAATTGTCGACTAATTTCGAAGCTTAGTTAAAACACTTTCTGCTTTTCTGATTTGTCGATATATTTTTACGATTTGTAGGTTACACAAAGATACCAATTTTTTAAAAATCGTTTATTTAAGCGAAAACCATATTTTTTATTATTATGTAATATGAATTCTTTTAAGAAAGATCCCAAGAATATATTGAATAGCAGACATTTAAAAAGGAGAAATACCTGCTAGTTAAACTTATTGTACTATTCATAATAAAAGTTTATTATCTTTTTATATTCAACATATTAAAATCAAAAGGTTCCAAGATATAAAATTATTTACGCCGTTGTGGCATTGAAGCAATTAAACAAGCAATTTTCTCGTACTTTAATTAGTGGGTAAATTTATTTCACTACGATTCAAGTCAAATTCTGAGTCATAAATTATTCGACTGAAGTTTTATTAACACTTACCATGAATCTAACATGTAGTTATTCCTATAAGGTTAACTGATTTAAAGTATCTGTTAGCAATGTTAATCGCATTTTTACGACTGAAAGAACTCAAGTAAGTCTGGAGTATGCAAACTTTGTATAACTAATTCTAAAATAAAGACAAAAAAAATCGTCACACCTCTCCAACAAAAAATTTGGTGTGATTATAAAAAATATCTATGAGATTATTAAAAACACAGAAGTGCTTATAAGAGGGTATAATGTAACACGGGTTAATATACTATTTAGCATAAACTACAATTCTTTTTTTAATGTTTTTGACAATATTTAAAAATATTCAATAATAAAATTCCTTGTAAGATTTTTGAAAATAATAAAGAAAATATGTTTTACTATAGAAGTTATTTGTAAAGGGATTTTTTATTTTAAAAAGTAACAGAAAACTTATTTAATAACAGACTTTTTATCAGATGTCACAAAAGGAAAGAAATACTAATTACTATTAGAATTAGTTGTTATAAAAACTTAACAGATATACCCGCATAAGAATGAAAAGATGAAAAGTCAATTTGTGGGTCAGAATCGGAATTATTATATACAGTATTTATTACTTTCAATGGATCATTATAAAAATATTTCCAAAGTTCATCTTCAAATCTTAAGATTGTTATGTGAAAGTTTTGGTAAAAGGTAACATTTGGTAACAATATTTAAAAATTTGCAAAATTCCGAAGAAGGTAAAACTATATCAAAAACTTAATAAATATTAGTAGTAGACTTTCAAATAGGTGTATTGATCGTAGCTTAACCAGTTACGATGGAAAAGGAGATGCAAGAACTCAGACGAAAGAATATAAAAGGCGATTAAGATAATGAGGAGAAGTACGAAAAGGTTAAATTAATTTTTTTGAAAACCATATAATTTATTTTTTTTATTTAAATAAGTTATATAGTTATATTGATTGGGGTGATAAAAATTTCCATAAGCTTGAATTATATCGTGATATTTATGAAAAGACTTTAAGAGTAACCTTTATTAAATTAATTATACATAAGTAGATCATCGTGTGGCCTAAATTTCTTAATACGAACGCAATTCAAATTAATATTTGACACCGAATAAGTTCATCAGTAAAAACCCCAGGTTTTGGCGATATGTAAGAAACTCTAAAAATAAATCTAAAGAAATAACCAATTTCAAGTAATAAATCAATTTCTGTTCTTTTCCGTTGGTTGTATAAGTTCAAAGAAAAAGAGAAATTTGTCTTAAATATGACCATATTAGATAGATAAAGAAAGAAAATCAAAACGATTTGATTTGATAATATTTCATTCTTATCGAATTCTCGAGTATTTTCGTCATTGTTTTCAAATAGCTTTATGGCGGGTTTTAATCGTTGGTTTTTTTTTCTGTCGAATATATAATATAAAAATTAATTATTAGATAACTTATAAATTAAATATCCTCACATCATTAAGCCGTGAATTTGTATGCATGCGTCTATTATCTAATTGACCTGTATTACATTTTCGTAATGGTCTCTTTTGAGCTCATGCATCGAACGTAACCAATCTGATAATTGAGTGACCGAAGGATTAAGGTGTCTATTCACAATTTCGGGTATTAATTTTTCATATATGGTTTTCGATCGCTCGCTAAACATTTTGTTATAATCCAAACGATATTCAGCAGGTATTTATCCTTTAAATAAGTTTTTCTTTCGGCCTAACAATAATTTATAGTATATGTTAATATAAATTCAGCTACAAATTTCTTATAAAAATAACTCTCACTCTTGCTTCAGAAGCACTGACTTCGTCGAGTAGTTCTATTGTGATCTTGGATGTTGACTTGACTTCTTTATTTGGTCATTCAGACTGCGAAAGATTGATTAGACTTTATGGTATATGGAATTAATGATAACAAGCTCTGGTGTTTAAGTTTTATTTTCTTTGTGCAACTTATTGGATTCGTTTCTGAAGATTTCATTAAAATTTCGAAGTGTTGCATTGACCTTCTAAATATGTATCTTTCTTTTCATCTCATTCATTTTAAGTTACTTAATTCTGTTTGCAACTGATTCTTTACCTTTTTTAATTTATCGACTTCCGTATTATCTGCAATAATTATACGAATTCATATCGAAACATGTTGAGAATATATGTATAGTATAATAAACGTCGATTCACTTACCATTACCCCTTCTTGAAGTTCTTGACTTGGAGGTTGATAAGAAACATTGGCAGCGCTACTTCGCACTATTCACGACGTAATTTCTCAGTAAATTGACATTAGGATATCATTAATAATATCTGATATAATTATAGGCTCTTGAGACAGAGTTAATGAAATAATTGACGGTGAAGGTGTGTAATTTGATATGTATTTCCTGTTCAAGATTATCATGACCTTATGAATCAATATTTGGCAGTGGGTTTTTGCATCTAAAATAATGCTATATACTGCAACACTTAATTGGTCCATAAATTTAATATGGTAGTTATATAGTGATAAAATTATTTAATAATACTAAAAAAAAAAAAAAATAACCAAAAATTTTCATTTTATTATCAAAATATTAGGAAAATCAGCTCAAAATCAAAATTTTGTAATATTTTTGAAATAACGGTTAAATAGATTCAGAGATCAATGCCAAATTTAGTTTTAATTACGTTCTTGTATCACCCAAATATATTAGTTCTATTTGTACGGTATGCCTTTTTTTTTTTATACGTAAAGAAAACATTTTATCACAAATCTTTTTTGCGGTTGATATTAATTATGTAATACCGAAAGTAATAAAAAAAAAAAATTTACACAAAATAAAAATTTATAATAAAACTTTACGTCAAACAATTGACATACCAAAATAGATTGATTTATTTATTTTATTATTATTATTATTATTTTTATACATACATAATCTTCGTGTAAAAATATATATCTCCATCGAAGTCGCGGTACAATTTTACGCCAAATTTTCTAAAAAACTGATTATGCTACAAATATTCCCACGCATTCAGATAATACCGCTTATCGAAGTTTTCGTTATAAAAGCATTTTTTCGCAAAAAAAAAATTTCATTCGATATCGTTTTTTTCGCAAAAATAAACATATCATTTTATTCGCAAAAAAAAATAACGTTTCATTTGAGAAAATGGTTAACCATCGACGAGCCTTTTCAAAAAGATGCAAAGAAAGTCAATTTATTTAAGAAAAAAAGCAATAGCGATAGAAAGAATGAATGACGGTATGGTTCCAGAGATTGCACGGGGTGCTTTCTCTCCCGTCTGCTGTACATAGATACCTCGCTTATTTAGCTTTGCAATCCCGTTAAGGATCTTTCCGCGAACAACACCACGCTTTTCTCTAACTCTTGGAAATATTTTAATAATATAAAAGTAAATAAAATAAATGAAAATAATCATCAACCGAAAAATGATGATGAGGATAAAGGTAATTAATTTTATTTTATCTTTTTATGTAAAAAAAAATATTTTATATGAGAAATGATGATAATTTATATTTTATGTTGTAATTACTCAGATCTTCCTGAAAAACAATGTCGTAAAGGTATTGAAAATAATAATATACTGATCTGTAATTGCAAGAATTACTCAATGTTAATAATCATCATTTTGATTTTTAAGTATTATAAATAACTACATTTTTTTAAGTATTCATCACTTAGTTTCTTTATCTTCATAAGTAGTGAAATTATACTATTGAAAATACTCCAATTATTTTCCGAAAGATATTTTTTTTTTATTTAATAAGCTGATCATTAATCAAAGAGTCCTGAAACAAATTGTCCCTATGACAATTTGGCCATCATTTTTTGTACAAGTTGTGTCCATGAAAAAAGATATATCAGAAGTTCCAAATATAATACTTTTTATATTCAGATTGAAAATTTTTATTTGAAAACAATCCGAATTATGATTCAGATGACACCCAAGTTTTATCTAAACGTCTCTTTTGATTATTGCTAAATCCTAAATAACGATCGATGTCAGTTTAATAAACTCAGGATAAAATGAAATAAGCCTTATCAATTTAAAATGCATACGGCGATATGTATAATAGGTAGATAATATGTCAAGTGTAACTAAAAAGTGAAATTATTATTGCAACTGTAAAAACATATTTCCATCATGGATAAATTAAAATAAAGGAAAGGATCATATTCAAGCCAAAAAGGGAACTCGGGTAAATTTGTTACATGGTATAGGAAAAAATGTTCCACATTATGCAATCAAAGAAAAATATTCATACCCAAAAATTCGATATATAAACGCCTCTACCTAAAAACAAAATTCGTCTCAAAATTATTTTCTTTAGGTTATAACTTGATAAAATAGAATATAATACTCCCCCGAAATTGTAAAAAAATGAAAACATTTCCTAAATTCATTTTTTGATACAACAAATGCAAGATGAACCCAGCGCAACACATATTCTTAGAAAAATATATGAATTTATATTTAATCACGTACGGTAGATCTTTTTTTTTAAACTTGCCATGTCAACTACATAAATGTATACTGTATAATAACCGGAAAATCAACGACTTCGTTCATAAGATAGAACAACATACTTCATGATATTCATAATACAAATTGCTATGCCAAGTGACTAGGGTTGGATCGGTCCGGTCCAGTCCGGTCCTTGCGGTCCTCGGTCCATATTCTGAGGACCGGTCCGGACCGGTTCTTTATTATTTATAACATATTATTTTAAATTTTATAAATACTATACTACAAAATTAGAGTTGGATCAACCCGGTTTTCATCTATCTTATGGAACGGTCCGGTCCATAAGTCAGTCCTTGGATCTGTCCTAATATTTTACTGTAACGATAATGTCCGAAATGGAAATATCGGAAATGGAAAAATAACGAGATTAAGAAGGCGCAGGAATCGTTTCGTATGCAATTATTTTATTGTACTTTTTTATTTATTAATTTATACAATTATTTTATTAAACTGATCATTTTATATGTATATTTTTCTAGTATGTTCTAAACCGATCCTTGAACCAGCCTTATAAATCAGTTTTTTTGAGAGAAAACAAATCTTGGACCGGACCGGACTGGTAGGGACCGAATGGTACAAGACCGGTCTTAGGACCGGTCCTAGGACTGACTTATGGACCGGTCCGGTCCAAAGAAAGACGAAAGACCGGTGTTTTTGGACCGGACCGGTCCCATTAACCAGTCTAAGACCGGTCTTATCAGGACCGATCCATCCCTACTAGTGACTCAATTTTAATTATAAAAAAAACAAAATTTATTAAAAATAATCAATAAAAGCCTTTACTTAGAGTTAAAATTGCCTAAAGATTGGGACGGCTCAAAAGAGCGACTCAGAATCTATGAAATCGATTCTATAGAAAATTTTCACAATAGACTGAAGAAAATTTTATGAGTTGCCCGAGTTACAAACCATTTTAACGGACTGACACGCTCAAGGTTTTAACTTACTTTGAGAGTCGAAGTGAAACAGAAATAAACTAAAAGAATCGTCCCTAATTATAACCTAAAATTTTCTGTTATAATGTGCAGTGGCTCTCAAAAGTATTGCATCACCTGAATACAAATTTTAAAATGGCATTTTCTTGTGATTAAGACGGCGCAGTGTCATAAATTATTTATTAGACTTATCATAACCAAGTCTATTCAATATATGAAAATCGGTTTATAGTAATGAGATAAATTTTTAAAAATATTTATTTTTGAAAAATAGGCGATCCTTTTCTTTTGATAGTTTTTTTTATTAAATTTTTTAAGTATATAAAAAAAAATCAAAAATCTAACCAACTTATTAAAAACTTTGGTAAATAAT